AAAAAAGAAAACTATAGACCCATATCCTTAATGAACATAGATGTAAAAACTCTCAACAAAATACTTGCATACAAAAAAAACTGCATACAAATGTACATCAAAAATAAAAAATATTTTATTATTTTTATTTAATGTGTATGAGTGTATTGCCTGCATGTATGTGAGTGTACCTGTGTCGTGCAATGCTGCAGAGGTCAGAAGAGGGCTTTGGATTCCCCTGGAACTTGATTCAATTTTTGTGGATGGAAACAAATACTCTACACAACCAGATTTAATAACCCCAAAATGGGTTTGATTTTGTGGGATTATTTTCTGGCAAATACATTTCAAGCACAAAAGACTTGTCACTCCTCCCCTCACAGAGTGGCATCCTATTTGGTTGAAGATGATCAGTCTCCCAAGCCTGCAGGACTGGATTAAATGATGCAAACCTGGCTAGAAGTTAACTTCTTGGTTAGAAGTGCTTTGCTTGAGACTTGTATTTGTTCTCACCAAACATAGACATGCATATGAGAGTCCACAGTAGCATTGTATCTAGAGACTAGACCAGATAATGTTGAACTATCTCCAAAGCAATTCTAAGAAAAGAAAACCCCTCCCACTCAAAGGGCTGTACAGACCCAGGAGACAAACTGTCTCACTGGCACAGGCTGTCTCAGGTTCTTTGACTAGCTCACAGTTCTACTGCTTGTGGATATCAGAGTGTATCTTAGGGGTAACCACAACAGGTGGAAACACAGTTTCTGCGAAGGCACTATGGCCCTCTTTAGAAGAAACACAGTCCAGACAAACCACACAGTGGCTCAGTTGAGATCCTTATTAAGTTGTCGGTTAAGAGCACTGGCTGCTCTCGCAGAAGACCCAGGTTCGATTCCCAGCACCCTTACATAACTCCATGGGGGCTAACAACCTTACATAACTCCAGTTCCAGGGGATCTGACACTCTCTTCTGGCCTCCAAGAGCATCAGGTACATACGTGGTGCACTTACATACATGCAGGCAAAACACTCATTATACACATGGACTCAGAGCAATCCCACCAATCACCAACCCAGGTGTGGTCACTAGTACCCCAACCCTGCCAATCCTGCCAAACCTTTCTCTACCACTGGGCTCTATGAGAAGCTGGGCATGTGCTAGGATACTGAGCCTACATTCTTTTCTTCCTATCTCATTTGTATCTCCAGTAATGAGGGAAAATACATAAACATTCTAAGTGATTTCCTTTTCTACCCTCTGTTAGAACTGCTTATCAGTGAAAGGTGGTACTTGAGGGTACTGTAAGACTTAAGAGTACTTGAGGGTCTGTAAAGATGGTTCAACAGCTAAGAGCACTTGTAACTCTTCCAGAGGAGCCGAGTTTAGTTCCTAGCACCTACATCGGGTGGCTCACAACTGCATATAACTCCAGCTCCAAGGGATCTGACCACTTCTTCTGGCTTGTGGGCACCTGCATACACATGGCATATACTCACATGGACACATACACACTTAAAAAAAAAAGAAAAAAGAGTACTTGAAAACCTAAGGGCCTTGAGAAGTTAAATCTGTTTAGCACAAATAAATGGGGCAAATTGTAACCAGCAGCTGTAGCCTAGAAAGTACATGGCTCAGGCACTTCATGCCACAGACCCACAGTAAGCAGCCTGGGTTCAGGAGCCACAAGGAAAGGAAGGGCTCAGAACATCCCCCCTCTCTTACTACTCATAGGACCTTAGGTGGGTTACTTACATTTTGGTGACTTAAGCTTCATCACCTTTAAAATGTGGATGTTAATAATGACAGCCACATCAGTTAGCTGAGATAATGCAAAGTGGTTATGACAATACCTGAAGACACACTATTGATCCCCTTCCCCAAAGTACTCTAGTACCAATGCCTCAGTCTAATAAGCATATCTGTGGTGCACAATGTGCCACCCCACCACTGTCTGAGGCACCTGTCTGCTGTGACCCTCATACCTGAAGGGTTTGCTGTCAGGGTCAGTGTCTTTGAACCCCATCTCTTCGAGTTTACAGCGCCGATACAACTCATAATGGCGAGTATGTGTCTGCTCTCGCAAGTCCTCCATGTTCACACGGATCAGCATCTCCCTCAGCTTCACAAAATCACAGTGGTTTTCATTTTCAACTGCAATAGAAAAGGGGAGGAGGGCCATCAGTGATGAAACTACTGAAAACCTGAAGAGATGCTTCCAAGGTGCTGACATTGCCCCTCCCTCCTGTGACCCGAGGTCTCAAGGCATTGAAGTGCTTTGTGGGCTCCACTTTCCATTCCTAATGAAGCACTGATCAGGATGCCACCAAGAGCCTACACATGGCAGGGCCCTGGGGAGGCCTTCACATTTGTGATCATTCTGCTAAGTAGAGACAGTGACTTGCTTTGCAGACACAAAAGTCAAGGTTTAGGGAGCAAGCTGACTTCCCAACAGAGTATCAAAGAGAGATTTAAATGCTGTATCATTTGGCTTCAAAACCAAAGCAATTTCTACCACTCCATGCAGTCAGGACCAAGCAGGGCCCCATTTACCACCATTATTCCAAATTACCAGATATTCACTAAAATAACATTTCTTTGGAAATGTTTCTGATACTTCGCTGATGCTATGGGTTCGAAGTCCCAGAAGAACTCTTGTTCCTTTTTAGGAATTTCTACTAAGTTTCCTACACAACCCAACATCTTGAGGGGCTGCCTCAGGGCACAGGGCTTAGCAGCTGCCTGCCTGCTTCAGAGCCACTTTCTTCTTTACACCCACGACAGCTTGGGGTAAACAGGCGGCACTCATTCCTGCCTGCCCCATGTCCAATACCTCCCTACACAAGGTGCAGAGGGAAGAAGGGCAGTCATTAACCACAGGCACTGAACATGAGGAACCCTTTCTCTGCAAACATACCTTGCACCACGCCCCAGGGGTACTGCCTGGCCTTGGCCATCTTGTTACCAATCTTCACTTCTTCAGTGCTGCCAACCACTGCAAACGGGAGATGGACCTGCCGAGCAACAGAAGAGGAGAGCCGTTACCTTCCACAGCTCCATCTAAGACAGCTTCCTGCACACTCTGCCCCCCTTAGAGAGGGGTTGCTCTCCCTAAAGGCAGGAACATGAAGAACTGCTGGAGTTGAGTGGTTAGGTGGCTGCACTTCACACAGCACTCACTGTCCACTGCCACACACAAGCTAGGTTTCAGGAGGAGCTTGACCCTGAGCTGTATGCCATCCGTCACAGCCACCACCCACTACCTGTGGCCACAGAGCACCTGAACTATGGCTTCAGGGAGCAAGATGGTCACTCTTTAATTTGACTTACTTTTAATTAATTCACGTTTAAATTTAAAACAAAAGCAATGCAAAAGATTTTCCCATTAAATACTTTGTTTGCTAAGAGTCTGAAGTCCATTTTCCTTACAGTGCAAATCAAATTAAAAAAAAAAAAGTTTCATCAAGGCAATGCAAATTTTAAAGAAAAACTGTATCTTAGTTAACATATTGAAAACTTTAATGTTAGGAATAACTTGATGTGGAGCTGCCTTTTGATTATTATGTTCATGAAATGTAAACACACAGGTATTTCTGATGAATGTGAACTGATTTAGATGCACTATCATTATAAAGTGCTCATTGATTTCAAAGGCCTTGCTACACAAGTATCACATTAGTAATTTCTAAACTGTCTACATGTTGAACTAGTATTTTTGGATATATTAAACAAGCCCTTAAAATTCTTTGATTCTTTTTGCTTTTTTATTATATTTCTTTCTTTTTCTCTCGGAGCTGGGGGTGTTACATGCATGCCATAGTGGGTATGTGGAGGTCAGAGAACAACTTGCAGGAGTTGGTTCTCTTCTTCCATCGTGTGAATCCTAAAGAGAGAACTCAGGTCATCAGGCTTGGCTGCAAGCATCTATCTGCTGAGCCATCTTAAATGTGACTATTAGAAAATTTTCAATTACTTGTCTAGTTTACATTGTCTTTCCATTGAATATAAATGTTTTATTCACCTACTTTGCAGAGCTGGGGATAGAACTCAAGGTCCTGCACATGCTAGGCAAGTGCTTTACTACCAAGTAATACCCCTAGCTCCAGAACTTTTTTAGACAGTTGATCAGTGTGGTGGTTAGTTTTTGTCAACTTGACACAAACTAGAGTCAGCTGGTAAAAGGGAACTTTAATTGAAGAGTTTCCTCCATGAGACTGGCCAGTGGGCATGTGTGTGAGGTATTTTCTTAATTGATGTAGGAGGGGCCCAGCACACTGTGGGTGGTGCCATCCCAGGCAGGTGGGCTTGGGCTGCATAAGAAAAATAGCTGAGCAAGCCAAGGGAGTAATACAGTGTTCTTCCATGATCTCTGCTCCAGCTCCTGCCTTGAGTTCCTGCCCTGACTTCCCTCGGTGACAGTTGTGACCTGGGAGTTGTAAGCTGAAATGAATCCATTTCCCTCCTCCAAGTTACTTTTGGTCTGATATTTATCACAGCAACAAAGAAGTAACTAGAACAATTAGTATACAAATTTCCAGTCAGAAACACACTTGAGACCAAAATACTGGCTCAGGCCTGGCACCCAAGCTTAGCTCAAGCAGAGATGGTATGGTGTCCAAGACAACCGCTTCTTCCACATCACTTCATTTGTAGTTACAGCTATATACTGGGTGGGGGAGAAAAACCAACTCTCTTTTCTAGTAGCACCCAAGAAGGAGAAGACTTGAAATAGCTGCTGCAAGAATTATTATTTATGGATCCTTAGCCAGTACCCCTTCCCTAGAGATGAGGTTGAGCAGAAGGAGATCGTTTTCAAGCCAAAATTTCTTCCATACAGAACTTGGCAGAACCCCCAGCTCAGGTTGCCCAAGTGGCATTTTGTGTGATGCACAAGAGATTTAAATTTCCTGGTCCATAGGCTGGAGAAATGGCTCAGCAGTTATGAGCACATACTCTTCTTACAGAGGACCACAGTTCTGTTCCCAGACCAGTGTCAGGCAGCTTATAACCACCTGCAAAAACCACCAAGGGGATCCAAAGCCTCTAGCCTCTGCACCTACCTATGCTCATGTGCACATACCACACCCAGAAACACGTCCATACACATAATTAAAAATAAAATTAACCTTAAAAAATTCCTAGTCTCTCTTACATGCTATAGGAAGTTTCCATTCTTTTTCTCAAACCCCAAGCCTGTAACTAAAATGTGCTCCCCCAAATTAAGCAGCAATAGGACTTTCCAGGAAACACTCTGACATAACCAAGGAAGGGTCTCCATTCAGTGTGGCAAAAGCAATTGCCAAGCCTAGATTTAAATATAAATAAATACATGTGACATGAAAATAGTAGGGGCCCATGAGTGGGGTGAGGGGGGACAAGAAAGGGTAACACAGAGGGAAAAGACAAAGTACCTGTGTTTCTTCTTGCAAGTACGAAAACCTAAGTCTGGAATCCCTGGCACCCAGGTGGTAGTGCATATGTAACCCTAGTATGCAAGCCTCCACATATGTACACACACCCAAATGGAACATGTACATACAACCATCACACATGTACATATAAAAACCAAGTACTACGGATCAGTGCCAGTCTGAGTGCCTGGGCTCAACTCTCCTTCCTTTGCTACCAATGGCCACGCCATGGAGGCTCTGTGCTGCAGTTTCTTCATTGTGAGGCGGGAACAATTACAGCACCTACCCCAGGGGGGCTGTTGGCAAGATTAAAAGTAAAGCCCTGAACAGTGTCTGCCACATATTAAACGTTCCATCAACCTCACAAATGTCAGGTGCTACTATTATGAAGCTCTCAAAGCCTACAACAAGAATGTTAGAGATGGAAGAGATCTCACATACTATCCAATCAACTCTGTATGAGGTTTCCCTATAGCATCTCTCTTGAGTCCAAAGAGCACCTGTTGTCCATCAACCATGCGTGATGGGAATTCACTACTTCAGCAAGGTGTGCTGTCCATCATGACAATCCTAAATGTCTATCGTTCATTCACATCTGATTAAAACCCTTCACAGATCTTTTCCCACTAGTTTTGGTCTTCTGAGGAAATCTCATCAGCCTCCCTAATGGCATTCCTCCTGCCTATTGTCCAGGAAAACTTTGACCTCCAGCTTTGCCCAGTGTTTCAAGAAGGTTTACTATACTGAATTCCAGCAACAGTCATTGGGCATCAACTATGTGTAAAGAATGTTATTTCTACAGAAATAATGCATTAACCAAAGAAGTATGAAAAGTCACTGTGGCTGAGCGACGGCACACACAGGTACGGTGGGAATGGTGAGGAAACAGGTGCATCCAGACTCCACACACGGGGTGACACAGAACCAAGAGTCATGTCATTTATCACCTGACAAGTTCCTCTTGGAACCTCAGCTTCCAATTTATCTAGTGAATCAGGAAAGCACCAGGAAACAGCATGCAGGGGAGGGCAGGAGCCAAGCACTGAGGCAAAAGGGAGGCAGACAGAGACTCACTCCTGCCAACACAGACAGAAGCAAGATCTCTTTTCTCTGAGCTGCTCTGTGAAAAGTAGTATTTGGTTAGCATTACCTTCCTAGACTTGCCACAGAAATCAGGGTGAGAAGGAAATCTGAGACCGTCTTGACTAACTTTCTCGCATGACAGGTGGAGAAAGTGATGCACAGGTAAAAAGACCTGCAGCAGAGCCGGAGGCCAACGAAGACCTCAGGTTCCCAGTGCAGGCTCTTCCAGCCCCTCTGCAGTGCTGCTACTAAGACTGGATGTCAGAAAGGCCACGGGTTCCCACATACGTACTGGGGGACTTACACTCATTGTTGCATTAATCTCGGCCACAGTTTCTTCATCTGTGGGGAACTGATATATCTGGACTCCATTGCTGACTAGTTCACTCATGATCTTACTCTTGAATTTGTGCAGTTCGTTCTTGGCAATGGTGTCAGCTTTTGCAATTATGGGAATGATGTTCACCTGTGAAACAAACATGTCCATCTTTATATAATGCCAACATATTAAAAGAACTAGACAAGTGAAAAAAAGGAGAGTAAATAAAAGCTGTAAGTCTCATTGTGAAATACAGATGATATCAACACAGACAACCTACTAGATGCAAAATTATGAAGACATGGGCTTATGTCAGCTCCACCTCTGTACACTGACTTCCTCTCATCCTATACTGAAAACTTATTTGTAATTTCCTCTCCCGTACCACCTCATTCAACATTAGAGTAAAAGGAAGTGTTATTATTTTATGACAAATAGTGGTAACAACGGGGTGGATTCTTTGAATAAGCAACACTCCTTTTAGGGGCTTGATTTTTGCACACCCCTGTAGCGATGGTTAAAGCAGTTGAGCATCACCCCTATGCATGTTCACATCTTTTCTTTCTTATGATGATCTGAAAATTACTGGGAGATATTTAAATATTAACTAATCTATCTTACAAATTTTCAAACTTGCAGAACCAATCTGAAAATCGGCTTTTTTTTCAAATAACTTCTTTATAGCACAAGAGGGTCCAGTATCAAAAGTAAGATTCAGGGCCAGGCATGGTGGTGCACACCTTTAATCCCAGCACTCGGGAGGCAGAGGCAGGAGGGTTTGTGTGAGTTCAAGGCCAGCCTGGTCTACATAGTGAGTTCCAGGACAGCTGGGGCTACAGGGAGACCCTGTCTCAAAAAGACCAAAAAAAAAAGTAAGATTCAGCTGAGAACAGTGGTACACAGGGCCTGTAACCCCAGCACTCAAGAGGCAGAGTCAGGAGGATCAGGAGTTGAAGGTTCTCCTCAGCTACATAGTAAATCTGAGGCTGGTGTGGGATACATGAAACCCTGGTTCAAAAATAGCAAGGCTCAGTTTCGGAGCCTCTGTTACAAAGAATTGGAGAGCACTCAGAATTTAACATTAACAACAGATATGTCAGAATAAGAGCCAAGGCCACCCCAGAATGCAGGAGCAAAGCCCCAAGGTAGAACATTCTTTTCCTACTTCCTCCCAGCCCTGTCCAAAGGACACATTTTGTTTTGTCTTTTCAAGAGATGGTCTCTTGGAGCCAGCCTCAATACCACTATGTGCTATGGCTGGCTATGAAATCCTGACCCTCCTGCCTCTACCTCCTGAATGCTGGGATTAGAGATGTGACACTTTTTGTATTCATGCTTTAAGGTGAGCTGTTTTCTTCTCCTGTTACTAAGGAGGTTTTAATGAGACACTGTGGACATCTGAGGCTCAAGCATGCAGGTCACATCCGCACCACTTTGTTTCTCTTTTTCTCCAAAGGCCAAATCAAACCGCCTGACAAACCAGAATGAGAGGGCATGCTGACAGAAGCCCTTTTCTTCACCGTATCCCACACCTCACAGGCTCAAGTTTCCTCTGGTTAAGGGAACCAACCAGACAGCAGGCAGCAAGCTTGGATCGGGACCATGGAGTAAACCTTCCTGTTGTGTTTGCTGACTGCCTTGCGTATACACTCAACGCTGAGGTAGTACCGACATGAAAGTCAGTCATATTTTCCTGGCCAAACTAATGAAGGTAGATAGAGACATCAGACTATTTCATGAGTAGCCACTTAAAATCTTTTCTGAAAGACGGATGTGGTGGTGCATGCCTCTTTTTGTAATTAAAACATAATAATAGCCTTGAGATAGGCTATCTAGCTCTCCAACAGTATAATTTAGTTCTTTGAAAGTTTAACCTGCTTTGTGGTTGCGTTTTTTTTTGTTTTGTTTTGTTTTAAATTTGTTTTGTCTTGATTTTTTCCTTTTCTTTTTTAAATATGTTGCATCTGCTAACACATTCATCTTGTGGGATATTTCGGCTTGGATTACATACTCAGCCCTCAGATAGAAAGCCACATCACCCTCCTTTCATCAGAATGTCTGTGACAAATGGATGCCTGGAGAGCAAGAGGACCTGCCTGTTTTCAAGGACAGGGCAAAAGGAAGCATCCCTCCCCACACAGCATCCACCACCATCAAGGCAGCGGCAAGGCAAAGCTCCCAGGAACCAACGTTCACAGCCTGGAATACGGTAAGGAAAGGTTTCTACTCATTCTCTCAGAAGACTTCGGTTATAATAATGCTTTGAGGCCAGCAGAGTATCTTTCTGTAAACCACTGTGACTGTATATGGTAGAAGCCCAAGGAGCCTAGACTTCAGCCTCCCTGGCCTGCTAAGGTTTGGTCCAGAAAGGAGCCTGGGGGCAGGCTGATCTGCTAAGCCTGTCCTCTCAATATCCCACTTCTCTACAGAGAAAGCACCGTTTGAACAGTGTTATTTGGGGTGAGGGTATACCCAACAAAGTCCTCCGGGGGTCTTTAACATCCACTAAGACTCTCCAGTGAGTGCAAAAAGTGGTTAGAGTCTAGAGGAAATGCCACCGCTTAGTCCTGGGGTCGCTCTTTATGCCATATATCTCATCTTCATTCAGAATGTATTGTCTTCTGTTTATTCCAAAACAGAAAACTGAATTAACTATAAAATTAGACATCAAATTTTACCAAACTTAATAGCTCCTTCCTTCAAAAGCTGTAAAAAGAGAGGCTACAAATGTGTCAGGCTCAGAGCCAAAATGAAATGAAGATTTTACTTCCTGTAAAGACCTCCGATACAGTTTTAAAATCTAAAAGGCTAGACTGTCCTCACATAGGCAAAAAGCTCACAGTCAACTTCAAGTTAGTACCAAACTTTTATAAACTTTCAGAAGAGTGATTTAGGAAAAGGTTTTGAAGAAAATAAATAAACTTCAAGTTCATATTTCAACTCTGGTTTAAGAACTGAATATACTTTGTGTGCAAGTTTTGTCTTATTTTTTCCTAATATCCAGAAGAGGTTTTTAGGTATTTGCCTCACACAGCCAAACTTTATGGCTCTGTAATCTAGGAAAACAAACAAATTAGATGCACTGGAGAAAAAAATAAAAATAAAAAACGGGGGCCTTAGGGCAACAGTGATGTAAGGAGTGTGTGGACAGAACCACTGGCTTCGGTACCTTGCTGTCCAGCTTCTTCATGGTGACCAGGTCCAGAGACTTCAGTGAATGTCCGGTAGGGGCAATGAAGTAGAGGCAGGCATGAATCCTCGTGTCATGGTAGTTGAAGAGAGAACGTTTAATCTTCAACTCCTCTTGCAAGTAGGCCTCAAATTGGGCATCGATATATTCCACTATTGGCTTACAGCTAGAACAAAGAAGAACATTTAAAAACAAATTTTTCAGAGGCAGGCAGATCTCTGTGAGATCAAGGCCAGCCTGGTCTACATAAGCGAGTTCCAGGCCAGCTGGGGCTACAGGGAAACTCTGTCTCAAAAACCCAAAAAATAAAATAAATAAAACACATTTTAAAACCCACATTTCTAGTCCCCAAACTCCTGCACGTTGGTGCAGTCAGTCCCCCACTAACATCACCCATGATTCCCTCCACCCTACGAGCTAGGGCCCATGTTCTCTACCTTCCCTGCCCTGGCTCTCTTCTCTTCTAGCAACATACAACCACTTACTTGTACTGGCCCTGACATCAGTCCTTCCTTGCCCTGGGCCTCTGCCCATGCTCCCTTCTAGATGGAACAGTCTTCTAAGACTTCATGTACTAGACTTTCAAACTCCATCTCAGTAAGTGATTCTGATAGCTTCTAGCAGCTGAGTGGCATTGGTGCACAAAATGAATAGTTTGTGATTTCAGAACAGAGATTCCTGTCACTGGCTGTTTTCCTTGGTCCTCTGCCCATCTCTTCAGAGATGGGGGGTGAGGGGCTGGGTTCTCTGCATTTCTGTGGGGCCTGTACGCATTCCAAGAATACATTAAGAAATTGGCAAGCCTGGACAACTGTGATTTAAAATTCTTTCCAACATGAAACATTTTGGTTTTTCTGGGGTCTTTTTTGTTTTTTTTTTGTTTTTTTTTGTTTTTCCCACAGGGTCTCCCTAGTCCCAGCCTGCCTGGAACTCACTATGTAGACCAGGTTGACCTCAATCTCACAGAGATTTGCCTGCCTCTGTCTCCCCAGTGCTGGGATTAAAGGCATGCACTGCCACTATGCCCAGAATCCAAGATGAAACAGTTTGTACAACAATAAACTTTATAACCCTCTCCTTTCCTTACCAAGTCTGTTTTGGATAATTATGTATGGATTCTGTTAACTGACCACAAAAAAACATTAATAACATATCAGGAATACACAATTAGTAAACCACATATCCTCCAGGAAGCAGTATGTTAGGTGGAAAATCCATTAACCCTTTCAGTCTACAAGGGAACCATTCAGGGGGAGTGCATATCTGTTAGGAATACAAGGAGTTAATTCTCCCCAAACTTACTTTCTGAGGACCAATTCAGTTGTAAGGAAAATAAAAATCTTTCAATACCCAAATTTAGACCCACCAATTAAACTGAAAACCTCGAACAGGTACTACAAATGCTTATGATAAAAACAACAGCCACCCTAAGAAACTAGAGCCACAAAAGCAAACTACAGATTTATGACCAAGGTTGACAGTCTTATGACCAAGACAAGACAATTAGTAAAGAGCTTTTGTTTTGTTTTTGTTGTGTGTGCGTGCGCACTTGTGTGTTTGTGGATGTGTGTACAGAAGTACACGAGCAGAGGTCAGCCTTGGGGATGGCTCCTCAGGGACCATCCACCTTGATTTTGAAGACAGGATTTGTTACTGGCTTGGAACTCACCAAGTAGACTAGATTAGCTGCAGCAAGCCCCAGGAATCCTCCTGTCTCTACCTCCCCAGCCCTAGGATTATAAGCATGCACCACCACACCTGGTTTGTTTTTTTTTTACCTGGGCAAGCACTTTACCAAATGAGCTATCTTGCCAGCTGCTTGTTTAGGTTTCTTAAGGCAATCTTGCTATGGATCACAAGCTGGCCTTCAACCTGCTATGTAGCCTATGCTAGTCCCTAGTCAAATTCATGACCCTCCTGCTGGGGGGCATGTGGCACCACCACACCCAACTACTAAACAGCTGCAGGATACATAGTATCCTTCCTTGGTGATTTGATTATAATCCACTGACAAAAATGTAAGCATACAGAGTTCTCTAGAGGTTTAAAAAAGGATAAAATATGCTTCAGCAATTTCAGAGCTCCGAGTCACGGCAGGCAAAATTCTAATACAAAGGATAAGTGCCTGAAAAGATTCTCTTGTGTTTCCCAATTCTGAAATATAGGCATGTATTATATAACAATAATATTTGTTATTTTGAGATAGTTGTGGTGGTTAGAAAAGAGAATTTGGGCCAAAGGACTTGAGACCAAAAGCAGGTGGTATAGTCACATGGCCTTGAACAAGTCACTGAAACTTTCTGTACCTCACTGTCCCCCTAAATAAAACAAGGGTGTAGTGGTGCAAACTTATAATCCCAGTAGCTAACAGGCAGAAGGAAGAGCAAGAATTCGAGGCTAGCCTCCACTACATTGCAAATTTCAGACCAGCCTTGACTACAAGAAACTGTCTCCCTGCCCCAAAATAAATAAAAGGTAAAATAATATTTCTTATCGGAGAGCAACAGTGAAAAATGAACTAGTACATGTAAAGGATGTGCACAAAGACATAACTTTCATAAAATCATAAACAAAAATACAGCAAATAAAGTTGGGACTTTTTAAATTAGAAAAAGAAAAGAAAAAGGAGAGAGGAAAAAAAAATACCCAGGAATTCCATGCTCTTTACACCACCCATTTCCGCAGTGACTATCAGCTACTGAGCTCCACCCTGTGGGGAAGTAGCCCAGGCCACTCCAAGCCACCCACAACTGGGAGCTGAGGCTTCGGTTTCCTGATATTGAGGCATCTTTGGGGTTTAGGATCCTCAGGGCACCCACAAGGAGGAAAGGCAGCTCCCAGCATGTGTCCTTCCTGCCTCCTCAGGAAGGAGTCTGCGCTGTCCCTGTGTTCTTTCAAGCACAGTCAGAGCATGGCTCTGCTTTCTATTAATTTCTCTTCTTGCCTCTGGTTTTAATGTGAACCTCCAAAGTCGTGAGAAGCATAAGGTTCCTTCTTTCTGTGAGGAATGCTTTCTGAACTGAACTCAAATCTTCTGTTCTCTTCAAATCCTAGGCTTCTTTTTGCTGCCTATGTCAAACTCCTGGCCAGTCTTTCACTCTCTCTTCTTCCCACTCTGTGGTCTCTCTGGAAAACCACATGTATTCAGTCTTTTCCTTACCACCTCTTTAATGAGAAACTACCAATGTCTAGCTCTAGCCCGACTTTACCCTGAGCTTCAGACCTGTCCACCAACGGCTTATTGTATATTCTAACTGCTCTTCTAGGTATGGCCCATATGAGCCCTGCACCTTATCTGCATCCAGAACCCATGCTTCCCCTGCATTCTGTCCACACCAGAAACCCGGAGTTCAACATGGAGACCCCTTCTGCCTTCGCACAGCTAAGCGTAAAATCTCATCTGTCTCATGATAACATCACTGGCAAAAAATTCAATCAATAAAAGGAAAGTGGCTTGAGGTTTTTAAAAGTTAAAAAAAAAAGAAAGAAAAGTAGGGGAGGAACTTACATCATCATAAACAAACAAAAGACATTACTCTTAGAGAACAATTTCCTGAAACCACTACTCTGTAGGCTAAAGATTTCATTATGGGAAGGAAACAATGGGACAGCTTCCTCTTAAGAAAAGTGAGCTTATAGTCTGTTCTTCCTTCATGATCCTTGAAGCAAAGTTTCCACTTTTTCCTTCACTTTTCTACCTTTTGTTGTTTCCATTCATAGAAAGATAAAGAAGCTGAATTTAGTTTTTCTAGTTTCCCTGTTATAGTTCTAGTTTCCCTGTGTGGCCAATATAGATTTCTCTGGATTGTAACTATATGAAGTGTGTGTAGGGGGCCAGGGGAATCAAATCAGCTTGATAATTTAACCCAATTTCCTCTAAAGGAAATAGTCCTTGATACCCATTACTCATTTATATACTTCCAGTCATTAAAAAAAATAAAACAAAATGAAAGATAGTCACCCTAAAATTACAGGAGAAAGCTATTTTATACAATGTTTGCTATCCACTCAGTCCACTCACTGATCATTCCTGCAAAATGGCCAATGGTATTATTTGGAGACTGACTCCATTTTACATATGACTAAAGCTTTAACGTGTTTTTCTTTTTCTCTTACTATCTGTTAGCCAGAGACAATTTTCCTTACCTCTGGACGACCTCTCCCAGGAAGCTGGCTAAAAACTTGGAATTTAAAAGTCAAACACTGCACTTCACTGCTGGTTTGTAGCTGTGGTAAAGACTGGGTTTGAGGAGTCTCTCAGTGGACTCGGTTATCCATGCTTTTCCTGCAGGTTACCTTACAGTTCATGGTGTAGAATGGACAGCCTCAATCCCCCAAAGGTGGAGTAAACCTAGTGTATTTCTAGTTAGGCAGCAAAACTTGGTCAATCCTTTCTTCAAGGACCCTTTCCTTCTTCATCCATGAATACAGACAGCCACAGCAAGGAAGTTTAAGTCTTAAACAAGACTTAAACACAACAGGAAACTCTGCCAGATCTCTCTTCCTGCCTGCCTCCCTCTAGCCAGCATTGGTCAAAGGCAGATAATGGTGCAGGAATGTCACCATGTCCAAAGTCTACATAAACAAACTGGGACATTCTTGATGTCGAGCATCTATGGCAAAAGCTTGCCTAATCCCCAAAGTAGGTAAAAATAATTCTGGGTTAGAGAAAGCGGGCATCCCTTCCCATACAGTTAAATGCTGATACAATACGCACTTCCAATTATCTGATGGAAGCTGAGACTGTCCAGTAACTATTTTTAAGCAGTCAAGTGTCAACAAACCTTTGGAGGCACAGGGTAATAGAGCTCCACATGTTATTTCAAAGAGGTTATGCAATAGTCAAGAAATTTCAGAGGAAAAAAATATTTGGTATCTAGGTTAGGTTAATATCACACTTCCTCTCTTCTGAATCTCCTTGGAAACTATTATTTGACCCAAATGAGTCAGATAATTTCTTAAAGAGGACTCCAGATGCAAACATGAGACTCTGCATTGAGCTAGCTTAGCCATTTGCTGCTCATTGCTAGCCAGTGAAAACCCACCAGCCTAAGGGAAGGTCCCTTTAGAGATGAGGGGAACAAAAGAGCGGTAGTTGTTGAGACACACAGCATTTTAGCAACAAGATGCTGGATGGAGGATGGTTCTCAATCCTGTGGGAATCCTGACAGGAATCCAACCAGAAAATGCATAAACATGAAATTCCTTAACTCCAGGGAGAAATCTGTTCAGCGAAGAGCTGGGAGATATGCTTTGCTCTGAGCATGGTCTTTGGCAGTGCAGTAAACAGAAGCCCTTGGCTGTCTCCAGCTCCCACAATGCACTTTACCTTTTTCTTGGCCCCCAGGGTTTCTCCTCATTTGTTTCACTTGGCATTACAAATGGCCTACAGGGGCAACCTCCCCAGCAGGCCTTGGCACTGAGGTCACAGGAAGAGCAACCATACAGCTGCAGGGTCAGAGACTGGCTGCCCCCAGACCAGCTCAACGTGCAGACAGTCCACTTTGATCATATGTAAAATAGAATCCTCACTAATGTAACAACTGCTCATGTTATCACAGGGCGATGTCTACTGCAGAGTACTTAAAGTACTGTGCAGATAAATAAACCTTGGTGCTCAGCATGAATTAAATATTTCTATCACTACTGGGTGGATTTTTTTCCTATCAGGAATTCTTAAAATGTATCTAGAAGATACATACATCTACATAAAAAAGATTTCAAGTTTCTTTTTATAAAATACAACTATAAAAACAAATGCACACCATTTTGAGGAAAAAGAATAATCTGTTTTAAAACTCTGGCCCTAAAAGCTGAAGCAATGGCTCAGTGGTTAAGAGTATTGGTTGCTCTTGCAAAAAATCTGGGTTTAGTTCCCAGCACCCACATGACAGCTAATGACCATCCATAATTCCAGTTCTAGAGGATCCAATGGCCTCTTCTGCCTCCTGCAGGTCCTGCGCTCAGGTGGTGCAATTGCATACCTGCAGGCAAAACACTCATACACATAAAAGAAAAAATATTAAAAATTTTAAAAAACTGGTATTTAACATGGTTTGGAGGTTTGAGTATCCCCTAACATTTCTATATACTGATTACTCAAAGGGACCAGACAGTCCCATAATATGGTCACTGCCCCAAAATGTCTATAGAATCATCTTAGGACCTGGGATGGTTTTAACCTTCTTAAATCTCTTTTTGTAAGAGCATAACTTGTAAAACTCTAACCGATCCTCCAGACTGAATGTATAGGCAGCCTGTAACAATGGAAGCATGCTGGGGCTCAGACCCCTTGTCCCCCAGGAAAGAACCATGTAATCTCATGGCTTTTGTCTTAAGGTTGCCATAGGCATGGTGGTAGAATGAAATTGAGTTCTTTCTCTCCTTGGTTTGGCAAACCTCAAATAAATCCATTTACCTTTAACCAATTGTTACCCAATTTCTTTTAGAGAAAACAAAGCAGGAGGTTACAGATTGGAGGTTCAGGTAACAGTTTGAGAATAAACAGAATATATTAACTACTCAAGACATTTGAAGTCAAAGTTGAAGAATGGGGATTGCTGACCTTCAGAGTGGAAGCATGATCTTGGAGTACTGATAACCCAGATCACACACTGGCAAGTTTAATTAACTTCTCCCCTTAAGGAAGGGCAAACAGAAACTCAGAGTGCATACCCAAACTTATGTGGCTTTACAAATGGGCTGAATGTCATGAAAATAAAAACTCACTACAGTATTTTATGATGAAGGCTTCAAGTTTGTGTGATCAATCACAGTCAAGTTTTATGAATGACTACATAAGAATTCACTGGTAGCTAGAAACTCTGTATCTGTATACAAACTGCTATGCCAAAATGCTTTTAAAATATTTTATTTTTTAAGTAAGTTAAACAAGTTCTTTTACTACATATACACAAGATTTTGTAGTATAAGTTACCTAATTAGGTAATCCTCTCTGCTTGGAGGAAATTTGAATCCATCCAGTTGACCTAAATTTCTTATTAGGCTTGACTGAATCCTATCATTATTCAGATACCATTTGCTAATTCTGCACCCAAAGTGCTGCCCAACTTTGAGCAGCCTAGAGGAAGACCCAAACCCTCACAGAAGGACCCACAAGTGTCTCTCATACCACTTTCATACCACTTTCCTCCTGTGCCAACTGGAAATCCACAAGATTTTCCTAACAGATACTTCATGAAAAGAGCTTTCTTCACTATGGGATTTTAGGAACAAATGTCACTTTTTCCACAAATTACAAGGTGACTCCTTACTATTACCACATCCTTCTTTAAGGCCTAACAATATAGTCGCCCCGCCCCCCTTTTTTTGTCTTTTTGAGACAGAGTATCCCTGTAGCCCCAGTTGGCCTGGCACTTGCTATGTAGACCAGGCTGGCCTTGATCTCCTAGAGATTAGCCTGCCTCTGCCTCCTGAGTGCTGGGACTAAAGGTGTGCACCACCATGCCTAGCTGAGTGCAGTTTCTTAGGTCTCCACATAAGCATAGAACCATATGAAGCACACCTAGTATAACTGCCTCAACATTAGAAACAGATCCATGGCTTGTCATTAGCAAAACCCAGACTACAGGTGGTCTCCTAAATCCTGGACTATGACTTCTTGTCTTGAGTTTCATCCAAATCTGTATGAATCTGGGGATTAAGGGAAATACCCATTCTGCCTCCTGGGACCAGGAAAATAAGTAATGGCAGATGCTGATTCCAAAATCCTTTTACATTATAATGCCTCATTTTGAAGAATTTATTTTGCATCTTCCAGACTCTTCTGCAGCTATATATTGGATGTAGCTTAATCTTAGCCAAGTGGGTGCAGCTATACAAAAACCTGGAAGCAAATGTGAACAGTACAAGCAAAGGCCCCAAGCAGGAAGAAGCCAGGGGAAGGCACTTGCTTAGATGGGACAGCTCTAATGGAGGTCCTTTCCCCCTGGTTTCATGGGTACCAAGTAATTTAAGGAGGTTGATGGCAAGAATTTTTGTTAGCATCTTATTTATTTTTATTTTATGTGTGTGTGTTATAAGTGCCCATGTGTGTACAATGCCTATAAAGGCCAGTAGAGGGCATCAGATTTCCCTGGAACTGGAATTACAAATAGTTGTTAGATGCTATGTGGGTGCTGGGAATCAAACCCAGGTCCTCTACAAGAGCAGCCAGTGCTCTTAACCACTGAGCCATCTCTCTAGTTCCTGTTAAACACCTTTCTACAGGATGGTTGGCTATTTCTCCAGATTGCTCTTCCTAATGAGAAAATTTGGCTCAAAGACCTTACAAAATAATGTAAATTACCTATTCCCTTTAACAAATGCCTTTTCTGCTTTACAAGTTAGAATCAGTTTTGTTCTCCAATTCTGATATCAAGGGAGAAAATTTCTCTGAGGACAAGAATGTTGTATCTTTCAGGTGATAAAGGACCAAGTTCCACAGCTACAGAAACATTCAGCCTTTGAATAGGATGGCGCCTCCTATCTCCTCATTCATTATTATCTCTTCAAAGTCTTAAGACGTACCTGTCATCTTTATTTATCTGGTCTCCAAATCCCACAGTGTCGACAATGGTTAGTTTCAGCCGTACATTGCTTTCCTGAAGCTCGTAACTTCTGGCTTTTAACCGGACACCTGGTTCATTGTGAGTAGCTGGGTCACTTTCGAATTTGGTGTTGAACAGAGTGTCCATCAACGTGGATTTGCCAATACCTGTCTCACCTATATAACCACAAAAGAAAAAAATTAAATAATGAATCAATGTCTTTCTGGTATCAGTTCAAGTTGTCAGGCAGTATGTATTTTATTAATTATGTTCATAAAGTGAAAGTGGGGGCAATGCCACTAGAAATCCCACTGTGAATCCCACACTTCTTTCTGTGGATGATCTATGGGATACTTCCTTAGAAATGCCTCTGAGTTTCAAAAGCTATTCAGCAGAAAAGAGATGGAACTTACAGATCAAGATATTCTTTAACTGTTGGACCTGGGTGCAGGCCTGCAATCCCACCTACTCAGGAGCCTGAGGTAGAAGGTTACAAGTTTAAGGCCTATCTGGGCAACTTAGTGAGACTCTGTCTCAAAGTAAAAAGTAAAAATCAAGGGTTAGGGACACAGCTTAGTGGTAGAGCACCTGCCTGGCTGCATGAGGCCCTGGGTTCAATTCCCAGTACGGGGAAAAAGAGTTTTTTACCTACAGGTCAGTACCTGTGAACCTACGGTCAGTTTGTATAATAGAAGGATAAAAGCATTATCTCTTTCTCTCCAAAATTGTTTTGTAAAATTGCATTACTTAAAGAAAAGTATATTAGTGAATTTGCTACTTAAAAAAGATTTCTGTATTTCAAAACAACTCTCTTGACAACAATAATCACTAATGTTGCTAAGTGCTTATTCTTTGTGCCAGGCCCCAAAACAAGAGCTTTCCGTTCATTCGCTTCTCTCACTGCTCCTCCCAAGACAGGTACTATAGTGACTACTGCTCTGCAGATGGAGCACTAAGACTAATTATCTTGCTTAAACAACAGCATTAAGAGACAGAGCCAGGGTCTTTGCCCAGTTTATATGGTTGCAACATCTACATTCATTCTGACTTTGCTGTTACAGTTATGGCTGGGAGTCTTCATTAATCCCCCCACACTCTCCTTATCTTTCTTTCTCTGCTGGGCTGGAGACAAGATAATAAACATTTATTAATTTAAAAGTTTCATGGTAACATTTATGACAATGTTAAACAGTTTGAAGCAAGCATTATACAGGCTTACAGTAATTCAAGTTAATAAGTGTTTATCCAGTTCCTCATAGGTGCAAAGCAGAAGGACCAGTACCCAGAACAACTATATCAGTCAAAAAGTGAGACCCAAATGTGGAACCAAAGTGTACTTCGGATCAGCATTCAAAATAGGACCAAGTAGCTGGGCATGGTGGCATGAGCCTTTAATCCCAGCACTTGGGAGGCAGAGGCAAGTGAATCTCTGTAAGATGGAGGCCAACCTGGTCTACACAAAGAGTATAGCTGGGGCTACAGGGAGGCCCAAGTAAACAAAGAAACAAAGAGGGCCAAGCAAAAGTTTCTCATAATTCTAATTCCTCTGTTAAGTCAAAGAGACCTGGCAAGAAGAAGAGCCCAGCCTTGTCACTAGTGTTGAGTATTTATATGGTGATTGAGGAAAGGGGATGGAACTCAAAATGCATGGGCCAGAAAGACGCCCCTCCCTTTTATTGAATCTAGAAACAAAAACACACACACACACACACACACACACACATATATATATATATATATATATATGATTCCAGTTCAATTTAAGCAAGCCAATATATATCAGCCCCCTTCAACAAATCCTAATCCTGACCTGATAACACTCTTGGAATAATCTTTTCTAAAGGATGACTTTTCAGATGATGAAAATCCATGGGAAAATGAGTAACTCTAGACTTCATTGTCTTAAGGTAACTATTCCTGTATGGACATATTAAGCAACTATAACTTCTATACTATTGTAATCATTGCTTCTTAACATAATGTAAAAGTAAAGTTTGCCAGTAACTGCATTGATTCATTTACTGATCTACATAGTGAGTTCCAGGACAGCTGGGGCTACAGGGAGACCCTGTCTCAAAAAGACCAAAAAAAAAAAAAAGTTGTTCAAGTACATTTGCCCTACTGTTTAACCTTTCCCATTGTGTCCCTAGCGTATCTTGGATCATAGAATTTCCTCCCTCATCAGCCTTCATCCAGCCAGTATTTTTCCAGTGCCTACTATGTACCCAACACTGTGCCAAGCTCTAGGACTCTAACAATGAACTAGCCTGATGTGGTATTCTCTCATATCTTAGAATCTGGTCTAGAACATAACTGAATACCACCCAAACTAACTTCTGAGACTATTGTGTTTAAGTGTTTACCACAATCATGATCCTCTTATGAACAAGACCACACCTTATACCCTGCAACCTTGTGAGTTGCCACAGAAAGCTGAACTACTTCTTGGGCTTCTGACCCAAAGGCAACCACAGACGCATGGTCGATAACAGTGCTACACACAGAACCCATCTAACCAGAACCTCTCTGAATGGGAGATGAACAATCAGCACACAGTGTCAGGGCATGAAAAAGGAAAGGTGTACAGAGAGAGGGAAATAGGCAGAAACCACGAGGGAGCAAGGCCACGAGCACACGGAGCCACAGTGGAGACAGACACCAGAGAAGAGAGCAGTTCAATACAGCAGAGCAAAACCCTGGGAATTCCACTATTAAGATAATACTTGAGTACTTACTACATCAATGAGAATAGGTGTGGGGATGACAGGGTGAATGAAAGCAAACATTTATACGGTTTGCACTTCAGTAGTAGAGTGAATGCCATTTCAGATCACCCTGAGGTCTGCTTGTATTAGTAGTTGAGACTGCTTTATCTTCCCTAATTTCCTAAATATTCTCACAAAAAGTAAAAAATCATCAATGAAAATAATAGAAGCCAGTCTCTGCTTCTTAACAAGTGGAGGTTACCAAGCTCACAACAATGATTCATGTCCTCCTCACAAGTTAACCTGGAGCAAAACACAGTTACTGCGTGATGGATACAAAAAGGTTCTCAACTTAAGAGACTCAGACTCTGATAGGCAGCCCGCTACAGGTATAGTGTCTGAGTCACAGTGAGCTTGTGCTGCTCAGGGAGCGTTGCCCAGTTCAGCTGCCCCCTTTTCAGGTTTTGCCCCTCTGAAGGACATTGGCAAGGGAGCAGCAGAGCTCCTGCACAGAAGTTTCTCCATCATGCTGAAGATTCAGTCAGTAACGAGTGACCTACTTCACTTCCATAGGTTTCCCCAAGGACAGCAATAAAAACTTGCATTTACAAGGCAACAATTCTAGGTTACCTGGACGAGACCGAAATTACCATTTCCTTTTACTAGTTGAGAATTACTTAAGCACATGTGAATCCAGACCGCTGTAGTCTTTTAAAAAGGCATGGTACTTTTAATGATCATTTACATTAAGGTTGGAAATTATGAACAATTAGCATTCCAGGCCCTACTTATAGCACAGGGTTAATCAATGGTTTGAAAAAAAAAAAAACCACTTTCTACTAAATTTCAGAGTGTTTTGCTTTCCATTTTGATGTTCTGTGCTTTTTAAGAGCTGTAATTAGACACAGCAATGCTAGCGGCGGCATGATTCACCAAAAGCAGTTCACAGTAGGGCAGTTCGGGAGTCAAAAGCACTACAGAACTAAGGGAGTTTCTTTCTTCTTTAGTGCTGGGTATTGAACCCAGTATCTTGTACAGGCTCCACAGCGCTTTATCATTCAGCTACATCCAGAGCCCCCCCCCCCTTTTTTTCCAGATGGGTTACTGCTCTGTCACTTACGCTGGTCTTGAACTCACTATGTAGCCCAGGCAAGCCTCAAACTTTCAATCTCTTGCCTCTGCCTCCCAAGTGTTAGGATGACAGGCTGTGCTACCATGCCTGGCCTAAGAAAGATTTTCAATGCACTGGTTTTTGAAAGTTTTGAATGCAGGGCATTGTCTATACCTTTGAGGTCCTACAAAAGCGAAAACATGTCTTTTTAATTGATTAACTGAAAGTCTACTAGGTACAGGTTCCAGTTCCAACCAAACAACCACAATGATATAGTCAGAAAATCCATGACTAACACCAACTTTGCAGCGCTTCAAAACTCATAGCAGAGTTCCAGGCACAGAGGAGGCAGCTACTAAAAGCTAACAGAAAACAAAATGACCACGGTGATCATTTGCACTGAGATTTGCCACTTCAGGAGGCTTTTCAATGTGTTGCTTGGTCTATTGTCAATTCATCTGACTAAACACACAGTTGCTTGAGTAATTAGAGCAACCAGTGAGGTGCTATCTGTGGCTTCTGTTTCTGCAGCTCTTACCAGTGCTGGTGAACACAACGCCCACATCTCAGGGGACACAGTCCCACCCTTCTATTTACTCTCAGGCTCACTTCATCCCTGAGCTCTCAGGTAGACAGGAAAAACAGCCTGTACTGCAGGACGAATCAGAAGGCATTGTAGATTGATGTGAACCAGCACCTTTTACTCTAACCTCCAAGGCTGGCTACTTGTAAGTGGCTGTGCACAAGGGCCTGCTTGCCTCCACTGAAGAGCCAGGCCTTTATTCTTGAACAGCACAGGGTAACCAGCCAACTGTCAGATATGTTATTACTCCTCATACACCTGCCTTTGATGAAACATGCTTCGACATAATAGCACCAGCCCACGAGGGGACTTAAGATAGACGTGACCTGACACACCATTGCCTCTACTGACTGCATGTAGAGGCTCCCTCGAACCCTGACCACAGATCCACCAATACCTCTTTTCTGAATCCATAAGAAATGTTTCCAGGTGAGAGCAAATATTTCTGTTTTACTTAATAAATCTCTCATATGTTAAACTTTCAGCTTGTGTTTGGCACATAATATATACCCAATAAATATCTTTGGAATGAATGAATGAATGAATGAATGACACCAATTGGTTACCCCAGGCAAGTCTGATGACAGGCTTTGAGCTCTGCCTCTAAACTGGACTTTACCTTATTTTCTGCAGACAACTCTGTTTTCATTCATCTTACCCTATAAGGTATTTCACAGCCTTTCAGGGAAAAAGAAAATGGGACCAAGGTGCAGAAGACTTGACTGAAACACCTCACAATCCATGTTGACATTACAAACTTGCTTAAAACAACCTTAAACTTGTTTCTATACTATTCTTCTCCTCTCATTGCCTCAAAAACAATTAAGCTTGATTTTTTTTAAAAATCCATTTTCCGAATGTTTTACTGACTTTTTGATTCTCCTTTTGAATTGGTGCCTCTTAAGGCAGGGATGTTACAATACCTTGTTCAACTTTGTGTTTCATAAAGAACTGACACTCAGCTTGATTGGTGTTGATGGGGCTTCTCAGAGAATTAGTGTCATTTTGGAGAATGAATGAGAGTTATATAATCTAAAATTGTGACAAGAGGCTGAATATCAACTTAAGATTCTTTGAAAATATACTACCTGTTTGGTTTTTTTTAAGGTTTTATTTAAACTAAAGTGCAGTGTGTGGAGTGACTTTATGTTGTAAGCAAGATGGAAAGGGGAAAAGATTAACTCCATGATGCTCCATGACTCGATTTAGCATGACAATTCTCCTCTCCTTAAGTGAAAACTATTCTTTCTCCCTTACACTTACTCCCAGAACTCACCAGAGGTGGGTTCTAACAGCAGACCTCTATCTAACACAGGAGCTCTGAAACTACACTAAGTTCATGGAGGATCAGTTCCTGTCCTGGTTTATTTTCTCTCCCCTTTCAACCCACAAAACTCTGATTCCATAGACTTTTTGAGAAAGTTTTTGTTCCTTAATGGCATTATAACTTTTGTTGAGCCCTTAATCCCCTTTCATATTCATTACAAGAAAATAAAACGCAATAAATAGCATGTGTGGGCACACAGGATAAAGAAAAAAAATGCAAATAAGCTAGGCATGGTGGTATACTTGGGAGGTAGAGGCAGGTGAATCTCTGTGAGAATGAGGCTAGTCTGGTCTACGTAGCATGTTCCAGGCCAACTGGGACTACAGAGAGACCCTGTCTTGACTTGAATTGAAAAAAACGGGGGGGGGGGGGGCTGGAGAGATGGTTAGTGGTTAAGAGCACTTGCTGCTCAGTCATGAAGACCAGAGTTCAAATCCCAGCATCCATACCAGGCAGCTCATAAATGCCTGCAATTCTGGCTTCAGGGAACCTGGTGCCCTCTTCTGGTCTCTATGGGTACCCACACAGACATATGCACACACATAAAATAAAATTAAAAAAAAAGAAAACCAAAACATTCAAAATGCAAATACATGGTAGGAAACAACACGAGTATTCTCAAGTCAAATATGACATCTGCTCCTCTCTATGCTGTCCAAGTATTGATTGGCTAGAGTGCTTCTTAATAAATTCTTACTTTAACAATCATTGCTTGACAATGCAAGTTTTTTTTCTAACAGATATTTTGCAATAAAATATTTTGCAAAGAACTTTGGTATGTCTTACCTCTGAGGATAATATTTAATGCTGACATTCCTAGTTCCCAAAGAATTAATGCTGCCTCTAACTAAAGAGCCCTGGTAGGCAACTGCATTCGTGTGTGTAAATAAGAGTGCCTATGTGTGGCATGTAGAAGACAACCCCAGTGCTGGTCTTTGGTTTCTGTCTTCCACTTTGAGATGAGGGCTCACTTTGTTTTTCTGCTGTATATGTCGGACTAGCTGGTCCATGAATTCCTTTCTCCTGTCTCCATCTCCTATCTAGGTACAGGAACTGGGATTACAGGAATTAGCATTATGTGCCCAAATTTTACCTTTGTTCTGGAGAGTCAAACTCAGGTCCTCACACTTATACAGTAAGCACTTTTGGCTGCTGAGCCATGTTCCCAGCCCTGGAGCCAGCTGTTCTTATTT